CGGGAAAGGGGAAATCAAGGGCGAGGAATGTATTAACAAATCACAAATGGATTGTGCCAGTGTGTGTGAGCACTGGCTCAAGACGATGTGTGCTTTGTTTCGTTATTCCTCACTATAAACCTATGAGAGAACATCACCACTCTGTAGAAAAAGAAACAAGACTCAGAAAAATGAAGCAATGTTCTCAAAGTCCTACGTTTAGTAAATGATGAGGTTAGAATTGAAAACCAAGGGGGTGGCTGGCTGGCTCAGTTGGTAGAGCGAGCAACTCTTGATCTCACGGTCGTGAGTTCAAGTCCCACATTGAGAGCATGGAGCCTACTTTACGTAAATTGATTAGTTAAAAAAAAAAAAGAATTCAAAACAAAATCAGATTCTAAAACCAGAGTTTTCAACTAGCATACCCGATTACATAGGTAGAAACCCAAAGAAACCTACAAGGTTGCTGGATGTAAACACAGCATATCAAAATCATTTGCATTTCTAAACATCAGCCATAAGCATAAAATGTCTAAAAAGATACTTTGTACAATTATTTCAAAGATATCAAAGTTTGGGGGGGGGGTTGCGCCTGGTTGGCTCAGTCGGTTGGGCGTCCGACTTGGGCTCAGGTCATGATCTCGCGGTCCGTGAGTCCAAGCCCCGCGTCAGGCTCTGTGCTGACAGCTCGGAGCCTGGAGCCTGCTATAGATTCTGTGTCTCCCTCTCTCTGCCCCTCCTCTGCTCATGCTCTGCCTCTCTTTCTCTCTCTCTCTCTCAGAAATAAACATTAAAAAAAAAAGTACAAAGCTCAGAAAAGATCCACTTTATGGCTCCGCAGAGCAGTGGGTGAAGGACGGTATTTTCATTAAATGGTGCTAGATCACTTGATCCACATGGAAAAATAATTACCTTCTCATAATACCCAAAATATCAAGTCCAGATGAGTCGTACCTCTAAATGTTACGAATAAAACAATAAGGCTTCTAGAAGATAACAGAGGAAAATATCTCCATGCCCTCAGAGTAGAAAAAGATTTCTACTGTTAAACTTTTTTTTTAAATGTTTATGTATTTTGAGAGAGAGAGAGAGCAAGCAGGGGAGGGGCAGAGAGGAAGAGAGAGAATCTTAAGCAGGCTCCCCTCTGTCAGCACAGAGCCCAACGCCAGGCTCGATCTCAAAAAACAGTGAGATCACAACCGAAGCAGAGATCAAGAGTCAGATGCTTAACTGACTAAACCATCCAGGCGCCCCTCAAGTTAAATTTCTGTTCACTGGAAGATACCACTGAGAGTATGAAAAGACAAGCGTCCGTCCAAATGGACTGTGGTACTCCATATAGTCAAAAAGAGTGTGTATACAGAATGCATTTAAATTTTTTTTTTTTTAAATTTCAGTAGTCTCCATGCTCAGCACAGAGCCCAATGTGGGGCTGAACTCATG